TTTTTTTTTTTACCTTGCCTCTTACATCAAGACATTAGTTTAGTATTACTGACCCAGCAACACTAGTATTGAAGAAATCTCTTATTTATCATCGAAGGGGTATTACAAATACATGCCCTGCCAATTTGGTCTATCGGTAGAATTTTCTAAGGTGGTGGGAATTCCAGCACCTTTCCAACTCTCGACCTTCCATTGTTTCTAACTTGTATGTCCCAGGGCGTAATATTGCCTTGACCCTATATGGACCTTCCCATTTTTTCGCAAGCTTTCCACCATCACTCGGTTTGCTGGCCTCCCTTCGTCTCAAGACCTCATCACCGACTTGGAAATAACGAGGCCCTACCCTGTTATCATGGTAGGCCTTGGCTGCTTGCTGGTACTCTATCATTTTAGCCTCAGCGACCATCCGCCTTTCCTCCAACAAGTTCAACTCTGCCAAATGGTCCTCCTCATTCCCTTTCTCCTCATAGATCTTTTCCCGGAAGGTCATTATCTTTGCTTCAATGGGTAGTCTGGCCTCACATCCATAGGTAATGACGAAAGGTGTCTCCCTGGTGGCTCTTCTCGAAGTGACTCGGTAAGCCCAGATGATATGTGGCAACTCCTCTAGCCAATTTGTTCCTGCCTCACCCAACCGCTTTTTAATCCCGTCGACTATTGTGCGGTTCGCATTCTCCACTTGACCATTCCCTTGCGGGTAGGCCACGAAAGCCTTGTTGTGAGTAATCCCGAAGTCCTCCAAGTATTTGGTGAACCCTGGATTCCAAAATTGAGGCCCGTTGTCCGTCACAATGTTTCGAGGAGACCCGAACCTGGTGATTATATTCTTCCAGACGAAGCGCTGGCACTTCTTGGTTGTGATGGTTGCATATGCTTCGGCCTCTACCCATTTTGTGAAGTAGTCGATAGCAACCATGACATACTTCTTCCTCCCTTGTGCTTGGGGGAAGGCTCCAATGATGTCCATCCCAAATCTTGCGAATGGAATAACATTGGAAACTGGGTGGGAGTATGTCGCAGGCCTTCCCGGAAACTTGTAGAACACCTGGAAAGTCTTGCACCTTTGCACATACTTCTCACAATCTTGGTTCATTGTAGGCCAGAAATAACCTAGCAAGATGATCCTTTGTGCGAGTGTCCTGGACATTTGGTGGGCTGCACAGACACCCTCATGAACTTCGGCGATCACTCTTTCCGCCTCCGCCCTGGTCAAGCATCTCAGCAGCGGACCGCCAAATGCCCTTTTGTA